CCCGGGCCGCCCGCGCTCCCCATGAAAAACCAGCTCCGCGGCCCCCCAGCGCGGGCGCACATGTCGAACTCGGGGGCGTCGGCGGCTGTGGGCACCGGGGCGGGGTCGGAGCCCGGTGCGGGGTCCGGATCTGGCTCGGGCACCGGGGCGGGCGCGGCGACGGGTGCGGGGGCCATGCCCTGCAAGAGTGCTGAGTGGCTACAGGAGGAGCTGGAGGCGCGCGGCGGCGCGTCCCTGCTGCTGCTCGACTGCCGGCCGCACGAGCTCTTCGAGTCGTCGCACATCGAGACGGCCATCAACCTGGCCATCCCGGGCCTCATGCTGCGCCGCCTGCGCAAGGGCAACCTGCCCATTCGCTCCATCATCCCCAACCATGCTGACAAGGAGCGCTTTGCCACGCGCTGCAAGGCGGCTACTGTGCTGCTCTACGACGAGGCCACGGCCGAGTGGCAGCCAGAGCCTGGCGCTCCCGCCTCGGTGCTCGGCCTGCTTCTGCAGAAACTGCGCGACGACGGCTGCCAGGCCTACTACCTCCAAGGTGAGGGCAGCACCGAGACCCCCGTCGGGATTAGAGCTCTCCTGTTGCTCCCAGCCGCCCCCGCCAGAGGCGGCTTTCTCTCCCTGTGCTCAACCCTGCGGGCGCCACGTCGCGCCCTCCTCGCATCCACTTCTCCCGGGAGCCGGGCCCTTGCCTTGCGGGTTTATGCTGGCGCAGAGCTGCCTGTTTACGCGCACGATTGAAGTCGTCTGAAAAACTTTTCCTTGCCTAGGCTTTTCTTTTTTCCCTCCTTTTGGGGGCCATGGCAGCACCCAGGTTCCAGTTGAGCCCTCTCAGGAGGGAGGGGCCTCCCCCTGGGACCCTCCAAGGTGATGGGGCACCCTAGTCTTATTCTTCTATCTGGAAGGTTAGAGTCAGGAGCCTTTTGCAGCACCATCCACGGCCCTAGAGCCTAGGGCTCCTTTGGATTGGGGAGACACCAGCATTCTGGCATGGGTCCCCGAATGGGAATCACAGCCTCATGGAGGCAGTTAGGGGTGTAAACTGTGTCCCTGTGTCCCTAATGTTTTCCGGGGACCCCTCATGTCCCCAGCCTGCTACCCCACAGCGTTCAGAAGGGAGAGCTGGGGAGGGGGTGGAAACGGAGTGTCTGAAGCCGGTGTTTCCAATTAACATTCCAAAATGGCCTCTTGCTGGCAGCGGGAGGCAGGAGGGGAGGGAAAAGGAGGTCTGCTGCACCCTCCAGCATAGGACCCATGCCTAACTGCTAGGCACTCCCCATTTCTTGTCCCAGTGAAGACCCCAGGGATCCTCCTGTGTGGGCAGGAGGTATTGTGTTCTAGGGATTTCTGGAGAAGTAAAGCTGGAGCGGCTTTTAAATACCTGCCCCTGCTGGGGAAAAGGGCAGGCAGTACCTCCTTGACTGTGGTTGGGGATGGGAGGCAGAGCTCTGTATTCCAAGTCAGTCGGAAGCGCAGGCCTTCTTCTGACCCAGCTGTAGGTCTGGTCCCAAAGTCTCATTGAGAGAGGGAGTTTGCTGCCAACCCCTCCTTTCTTTACTACTTAGTAGTTATTGAGCCCCCTTGGGTGCCAGATGTGCATGGGCACTATGGGAGAGGAATGAGCCAGAGCCTGTCCTCAAGCACCCTAAAACCAGTGGTATGGCTGGGCCCCTGAAGTATATGGGTAAGGGTATGGAACTCGGGCAGCTTTATTCACCTCAGTTTCCTCACCTGTGAGTTGGGTTATAGGGTAGGTGTGGAGAACGCTGTGTGTAACTTACTTGGCGTGATCCATTTGACTGTTGTTGGTGTTACGGTGCTTGAAGTGGGGAGGCTTGACCACTGTTAGTCTAGTTTGGAGTGGGGGCATTGACCAGTGGCATCAGCAGTCTTTCACCAGGTCCTGTCTCACCCTGGCCACAGGTGGTTTCAACAAGTTCCAGACAGAGTACTCAGAGCATTGCGAGACCAACGTGGACAGTTCGTCCTCACCAAGTGGTTCACCGCCCACCTCAGTGCTGGGCCTGGGGGGCCTACGCATTAGCTCTGACTGCTCGGACGGTGAGTCGGATCGAGAGCTGCCCAGCAGTGCCACCGAGTCAGACGGCAGCCCTGTGCCATCCAGCCAACCAGCCTTCCCCGTCCAGATCCTGCCCTACCTCTACCTCGGCTGCGCCAAGGACTCCACCAACCTGGACGTGCTCGGCAAGTACGGCATCAAGTATATCCTCAACGTTACGCCCAACCTGCCCAACGCCTTTGAGCACGGTGGCGAGTTCACCTACAAGCAGATCCCCATCTCTGACCACTGGAGCCAGAACCTCTCTCAGTTCTTCCCTGAGGCTATCAGCTTCATAGGTAGGTGCTGCTGTACTCAGGGCAGGGTGGGTGTGCAGGTGTGTCAAGGTGTGTATGCGACTCTGGGTGTCGCCCGTGCCCAGCTGGGTACCTCTGGGCCTGTCAAGGCCTGTGTGTGCCCTGCATGTGCCAGCGTGTGCCATGGGTGCACCACTGCCTGCTGTGAGTCATTGAGGCCCTCAGGGCCTTAGCAATCCCCTGAGTCCTGGGCTCCCCCCAGCTTTCGGCACCACACAGATTTTGCCATCCAGCTTGTGTTTTCCTGGCTCCACCGTTTTGGTCTCAGCAAGCTGAAACATCACAGCTCTCAGACCTCCCACGGGTCTCATTTGCTCTGCATCACGCCCCAGCACACGTGTCTCTGCAGGATGGGGCTGTCAAATGCGGGCTTTATTGTGTACCTGAGGGGGCTCAGGGAATGGCCCCGGAGCCTGAGGCCTACCCCAAAAGACAGCTTTTGAAATTTGGTCACCTAGAATGCCTCAGTGGAGCCCCAAATGTCCCTGGCAGCATGTGGGACTTGCTAAGAGTTTGGAGGTATACAGAGAATGTGGGGGTGGGCAATGCGTTCTGCTGTCTGGCTTAGAGCCCGCTGATCCCCTGCACCCCCAGCCTCAGCTGACTCAGGCCACATGCCTTATCTCTGACCTCCCCATCCTGCTTCCTCCTTGGCAGCTGGAGGCTATTATACTGCAGGTCATCTTCCTTGGCCTTAGCTAGTGTCCAGGGTGTGGGGAAGGGATCTAAGATCAGGATGAATGTAAGCCCTGGGTTCTCTGAGCCTGGTGACCTAGTGTTCCTCCCCAGCCTCGGGTGGCAGGGTGGGGGTGGCCTGGGTAGTCTCTGCTGGCGGCAGTGTCCAGTGGAGGGCGTTTGGTGTCAGCAGGGCCGGGCTAGCTTTAATAACAGGAAGTGGGAGGCTTCCCCGCCTCATCCGCTTACTGGGAACTAAAACTAGGTGCCTGGCTGGGAGGAAGGAAGGAAGCTGAGGCCTGGGGGAGGGGCTGTTGCTGCAGCTGCCTGGCTGCCGGGAGCTTCCCAGCTCTGCCCAGGAAGACATGGGCAAGAAGGTTATGGGTGCTTTGCCCCTGAGAGGGGTAGTAGAGAGGGCTCTAAACTCCTACTCCCTTCTTCCCCACAGCTGAGCCTGGCTGTTTATGGGTGCTTTTCGCCTTCCTAATGGTCCCTCTGCATCTAGGCAAGGGGACAAAATAGGGTGTTAGGGTGAGGGAGAACCTTTTCCCCTCTTTGACAAGTGAAGGAATTGGGGCACACATATCCCATGGGATTCAGTGGGATAGGATCATGCACCAGCCCCACCCCCATCCTCAGCTCCAACCCTTGGGTCAGATCTCATCGCTCTACTTGAAGAATGGCTGTCTCTTCTCCTAATATCTTGCTCCTAGTCAGTCCTGTAGTCTGTATTAAGCACCTACTGTATACTTAATGGTGGATTCCCTTGTGTGGAGGTGGGATGGAGAGCGAGAGGCAGTGAGCACCAAATGAGAAATGGTTTGTGAGCCTGTGTCTTGTCTTGTAGGAGAGCGCTGACTGAGCGCCTGGCCCCCATGGCTCAGATCCCGAGATGGGGACTTCAGAGCCCCAGGGCTGCCTTTGATTAACCTATCCTGGCACAGTTAGAGCAGACAGAGAGGCAGCTACCCTGGAGTCCTGGGAGGAGAGAATATTTGTTCAAGGACTCGAACAGAGGGTCTAGCAGAGGGCTGGTAGAGCCTGATTAGATCTGGGGGGACATGTCACTGACACCAGGGCCTGTTCGGGGTAGTCTAGTAAGTGGGGTAAATAGGCCCCATGTAAGCAAATCCCATGTGTGAAACCTGCAATATGGCCTCATTCTAGTCCTGAACTATGTAAGAGTGAAGCTAAGGCCTTGGGGCCTATCTCGGCTCAGAGCAGACCAAGTATAGAGCTAGACCACTCATTCACTGGGAACACCCTTCCTCAGTCCTGTTTCCCAAAAAGTTCTCCAGGGGATCCTCAGGGATCCCCCCAGGTGGGGACTAACATGACAGGTGCAGCGTTTGGGAGATCTATGACCTTGGCCTTGTCGCTGTTTTTGCACCTGTTTCCCTGTTTGTAAAACCAGCTTCCTAGCCTTGGGGGAGATGCAGGCGAGGGCTGCAGGCGATGTCCCCAGCCATCTGTGCAGCAGGTGGACTGGAAGTGACTGTGGTCGTCACAGTTGCTCTCACTCAGCTGGGGTCCTTGAGGGAGCACCGGAAATTAGGGGGCTGTTTTGAATGAGAACACTTAAAGGCTCAGGGATGTCCAGTGATTGGGAGCTCATACATGGCAGAACCTTCTCCATGGTCGTGCTCTTGACCGCTGTTGCAAGTTCCTGCCCCACCCATGTGGAGCTTTACAAGGCCCCTTAAGAGTCAGGCAGCAGCAGCCAGTGACCATGTCACCCCTCTGGCCCCAGCCCTACCTGCTGGGGCTCCTTGGAGGAGGTGCCCCCCTGACCCCTGCCTGTGTGTTGCAGACGAGGCCCGCTCCAAGAAGTGTGGTGTTCTGGTGCACTGCCTGGCAGGTATCAGCCGCTCAGTGACGGTCACCGTGGCCTACCTGATGCAGAAGATGAACCTGTCACTTAATGACGCCTACGACTTTGTCAAGAGGAAAAAGTCCAACATCTCACCCAACTTCAACTTTATGGGGCAGCTGCTGGACTTCGAGCGGACGCTGGGGTTGAGTAGCCCGTGCGACAACCACACCCCCAGCGAGCAGCTCTACTTCTCCACGCCCACCAACCACAACCTGTTCCCGCTCAACACCCTCGAGTCCACGTGAGACCAGGGCCCCAGGGGCCAGGGTGCCAGCCCTCCACGGGGCCAGCAGGTGGGCCTGCACCTGCTGCATCTGGCCTGAAGAATGGATGAAGGTCTCCCGGGCCCAGGGGCCGAGTTTCCCTCGCTCGGCAGGATTTTCCAAGAGTCCGTGGCTCTCAGACATGAGGCTTTGGGAATCCAGCAGGCCTCATCCTTGCCCCAGGACACTGCTTTCTGCTGATGGCCCAGCCAGTTTGGCTGTTTTTTAAAGACACATCCCCGGACCTGAGTTTACCTTTTTACTTTTGGCAGGTAAATCCAAGCTCTCTGGGGCTCAGAGAGTGTTCAAGCTCTTCTTGATTTTTTTTTTTTTATGAGAAGTGTTATTTTCAGGCTTCATGCAACAGTGGATTGTATAAACCAGTATTTCATCCTTCTCTTGATCTTACAGAAGAGAGAGAAGCATTCTCAGTTTTGTTTTTCTTTCTATTTCAAAGCAATTTTTTTTAATGGGAAAGACAAACCCCGTGTTGATCTTGACCAAATGCGTTTTGCACATGTGCGAAGCCTCTGTTTTTGTCGCAGGCCCTTCGTGAAGGGGTGGCTTGCTGGTCTCCCAATGTTGGACCCCCAGTCATGCCCAGCTCCCCCCTTGCAACCTGACCCAGCACTGCATTTGCCTGCGATAGCTGCTGCAGGCTGTGACTGGCAGGCTGGATGGTGGCCTTTTCATTCTCTGCCCCCGCAGCCCCTCTGTGCTCCCTATAGACTCCCTGAGGCCGGAGATGGGAGGCCCTGCCAAGCAGTAGCATTAGCCCTCTGGGCTCAGGCCCTAGGCGGGTCTGGGTCCTGGGCCCTTTACAATACTACCCACTACTTCTGTCTCATTTGCTCGCTGAAGTGGAGAGTGGAGACCCAGTGGCGGGGGAAGCTTTGGTGGTAGGGGCCTGGCGCTGCCTCCTGAGTTTCTCTGCCTGACTCTGGTAGTTTTGGCTCAGCTGCCATTTGTGGCTGCCTCACCCGTGGAAGCCTGCCCTGCTCCCATTTCCCGGGCCTTCTGCCCGGAAGCGCACGCCCTTTTCCATCCTAGGGCAGGTGCAGGTAGGGCAAGGATGGATAAGTGAAAAGGGTGTGAGGCTGTGTCCACCCCACCCCACCCCACCCCCAGTATCCACACAACAAGCCACGGATTCCGTTACCTTCCTCCAGTTTTGTCCTTCCCCAGCCTCAGTTCTACCCAGGTGTCAGGACTGCAAGGGGGAGGGCCCCTGAGGGAGTTAGCACTCGCATGTGAGCAAGGCCACGGAAACTCTGCCCCTCTGCATCTTACCTCACAGGGGTTGTTTTCAGGGATTCTTTAAGGCAAAGGATTAAAATCTTGCCACAGTTGAGAAATTGACAAAAAGCTTCCAAGCTGTACACGGTTCTCTTTCTCTTTTTTACTTTTAAAAAGAAAAACCCGGAAAGACGCATCAGATTTGTGTAAATGAGGGTATGCCAAGAGGGTGGCCAGTTTTGCTTTATGATCTTATGAAGGAAAATTTGTGACCCTACATACAAACACAGACACACACACACACACACACACATATCCCGAACCAGCAACGGGACTTTGTTTATATTGCAAATAAATATTATTTTTTCTTTAAAATGAGTTGTGTCTGATCTAAGGACCTGGGGCAGCAAACAGGCACTGTGCCAGCATCCTGGTGCCTGCACTATGTAAGGTAGTGACCTTGCCTGCCCAGGGCCTGCTTGGCACTGTAACTGGCTAGAGGTGCCCACAGCTGGGAGGAGCTGCAGGCCTCTGCGAGAAGTAGGGTGTAGGCATTTCTTCAGGCCCTGGCAGGCAGGGACAGTAGAGCTCTCTGGACTTTCACATGGGTTAATCGCATGGCAAGAAGAGGGGTCTTAGAGAGGTTCTGTGGACCGAAGTGGCAACTGAGCCTCAGAAATGCCCAAGGCTGCTTGCTTAGACATTGCTCATGTTGCTCCAAGATCCTGACCTGTCCCCTGAGACCTCAGGGCTCTGGCGCTTTCTCTTGTTCCTGCGGGTGGTGGGGGGTTGGTATTTTATCACACCTTATCCCTTTCCCACTCCACAGTCTAAGACCCCAGTAGGACTGAACCTCAGTCCGTGAGCAAGTTACCCTGCTTTGTTCCTCAGCTGCTAGATGGTTTCAGCCTCCTTGAACCTCAGTATCCATCTCTGTGGAGTGGGTCAGTCACATCCAGGTACCTAGTGCTTGTATTCAGGGCAGGATGAATACACTGTTCATTCCTGGGCAGGTGCGCTTCAGGCTTCTGTGCGGCCCCTCTGGAGACTCAGTCCAGCCCTGGGCTGGAGCAGGCAACTAGTGGCCTGGAGCCCCTAGTGGGTAACAGCCCCTTGTTACAGATGGGGAACTAGCGCCTCCGAAGGAACCAATGTCTCCTTTACCTCTGGCTGGGTGAGTGGGCTCCAGGGACTTAGGTGTTGACTCAGTTTCCCCATCTGTCTCCTACCTGGCTTCATACCTTCTGCTGTGACTGGCACTGGGCTGCCTAGGTGGCAGGTAGGCAGACAGGGCAACTCCTTTCCCCAGGACTCTTCATTGGGCCCTCGAGGCTCTGCCTTCTCTCTTCTGCCCGATACCGACCTGTGAGTTACATTTGGCCCAACAGTCACCTTCAAGCACATGGCGTCTAGGGGCCAGCTTCTGTAGGCAAATCCCAGCTGAGAGGCTGCCAGATCCTCACCCTTCACACTCAGTTTTCCCATCTTAGAATCTAGGGGAATACTTCGGTGCTGCCAGCAGGACTGCAGGAGCGGGAGGGGGTTCTCACATCACGGGCAAAGGGGAGGGTGCTGCTTTTGCTCTTGGGCTCCCTCGGGGCCCTTGTCCTTCTGTGCCAGGGGTGGGCTAGGGGGTTGGGGCCTGAGCAGACAGAGACTGGGCCTTTGTTCCTTCTTGCTGCCCTCTGCCAGGACTGGGGAAGCCCGCGGGTGCCTGCTGGGGGCTGGGCCATCCAACAGGCCAAGTAAGTGCCTGGCAGTGCCAGTGTGCCCAAACGCAGGATGGGGGTGGGGGTGGCAATCACTTCCTGAGCCAGTTCCTCAGACGGAGGCCTGGGGCATTCTACCTTCTGTACAGTCTCAGGCCAGGTGGCCTCACAGTGTTCTCGTCTGTTGAAATTGTCACCTCTGGCCGTGACTCCCTTCAGCTCCCCTCCAGTGGAAACAAGGCTAGGCCGTGACTGAACGACTCGGGCTCGGCGTCTTCACTCTGACTTCAGCTGGACCACGCTTAGTTAGGGCTGCTGTCCCCACCCTGGGCCCAGGGTCTCCATGGCCCCCCACTCTGAACTCTAGTTATTCTACACTGTTTTTGCCATGCTGTCCCCCGGGCCCCATCTATTCCAGGCTGTCTTTGCTGACACCTTTGCAGTGGTTTACCTTGAGCTGCTGGCTCGCTGGGACTGCACCTGCCTGTCTGTAACCTCAGTCCCTCTCCTTCTTCCAGACCCTCTCTTGCCTTTCTTCAGGTTCCTGTTCCTGTCTTCATCTCAGCCTCAGGAGCCAACCCCCCACCCCACCCCCCATCCACTTCTTAGCCACTTTGCACTGGAGGAGGATCCATCCAATTCATTCACTCACTCACTGAAACATTCATCAAGCAGCCATTTCCTGCGCTGGCTGGGCTGTCCCGGCAGTGGGAACATGCCTGAGGGAAGCTCAGTGATGTCAGGCTGGGTGGCGGGATAATGGGGCTCTCTACTTGTCCTCTGATAAATGAATCAGGTGCAACAGCAGGCGTGACTAAGGCTGGCCACGAGCAGGAAGTTGCTATGCCATAGAGCAGTCTGACGAGGGGAGTTCTGACGGGAGACCCCAAGAGACGGCCACATCCCTCTGGTGGTCTTCCTGTGAACCTAAAGCGGGGAGCAGTCCCCTGCCCAGAGTGCAGGTACCTCTTGAATGTTGCAGGGTGGGTGTGGGCAGCAGCCTGTGCTAGGGCCTGCCCCCTCCCCTGCTGCCATCACTGCCTGGCACACGCAGGCTGCCCTGCCCCCAACGCTGTGTCTTGCTGGGCCCGCCCTCTGTTCGCTCAGACATGGCGTGGTGGCCAAGAACACCGGGACCCGCACCCTTAACAGAGGCCAGGCAGCCTGCTGTGGGGCCAGGTGTCTTGGAGGGAGCATGCTAGCTCGTTGGCCCCGGGCGCCCCGGAGCCCAGACTGCCTCAGGAGGGCTGGCGGTGTGGGGTCCCGATCTTTGATGCCTTTGTCCTGCTTGTGGTGGATCCCACTGTTACACAGCCCTCTTACCTCTTCATCTACTTCCTGATCCTCATCTGCCTCCTGATACCCAGCAGACTTGAGAGTTCAGGGAAGGCTCAGAACTGTCCCCGTCCACCCCAGACTCATCGGGGGTGTCCTGGCGTGAGCCTGCGCAGAAACGAGGGCTCCCTTCCCTAGTGTTCTGCCTCCCGCATGGGTCTGGGAGCCTTCTCCCTCTGGCCCTGTGAAGGACCAGACATGCACATGCATGTGCCAACACACTGCCCCCTCACTTCTCAGACAGGACAGGCCCGAGCAGGTCCCACAGTGACGGAGGAGCTGCCTGCCTCTGACTGTAACCTCCTCTCATCAGGGTGCGGCCTGGGTGAGGTCATCCATCATTAGCAACACTCCCAAGGTAAGATCAGGCCTCAGCCCTACTGTTCCCAGCTGGGCCAGGAAAACCCCAACAGGCTGCCCCACTCCATGCCCCCCAGGGGGCATCATCACCCAGTAGCTGCTGTGAATCTGGGGGATGGCATGTGCCCCCTTGACTCCTTGACTCCTGCTGCAGGTAAAGAAGCTGCAACCCCTTCTGTCATGCTAGGGAGGGGTCTGGTGGCCCAAGAGACGAGGGGAGCCCCTAAAAAAGCTTTAGGCCCAGAGATGACCAGATCCAGTTGCTTGCTGGGTGGAGAATGGCTCGAGGAACAAGTATAGGACAGGTGAGTGAGAAGGCCTGGACGGTCTTTCAGGGTGGGGGTTGAGGCTGGGGAGTATGGCAGAGGCCACAGACAGTCGGACTCGGCCTCGTGGGAGGTGGAACCATCCTGTAAACAGTGTCCTAGTTTGGTTGTGCCCCCATCTGTGGCCTGAAGGTCTCTTGTCACGCCATGAATAAGCATGAGTCTCAGGGCACTTGAGGAGCAAACCCTGGCCCCTGCAGTCAGTCCCCACGACCTGCCCTAAGACAACCTGCCTCACCCCTCACTGTCCTCCACATCCTGGACATCCAGGGCGGAGGCAGGGGTCGCAGAGTTCCTTTCTGATCCCAAGACACACAGTTTCTGATGTGGACACTTTCCCAGATGCACAACCCTGGAGACCTTTTATTTAGTGGGGGAGAGAACTGTGAATATGAGAGTAGAAAGCAGGATGAAGTTTCTTCCTTTTGGGAGAGCTGTTTGTTCCAGCAAGAGATGAGAACAAAAACCTTGGGGGACCCAGCCCTCACATGCAGGACTCGGGGATTATGAGGTTCTGGGTTCTGTCCAAGGGCTGGACCACCTGAAATCTGTTCCCAGGAGTGGCCTATGAGCCAATGTCCAGCCTGAGAGAAGACGGAAGTCTGGTTTGGGGGCCAAGGTGCCTGTGTGGAAAGGGACAGGCTGGGCCCCTCTCTGCTGCTGCCCACCCCTCGCTTGAGGCCACTTGTTCCTTCCATCTACCTGCCCTCCTCCCTGCCAGGAGGACTTCCTGGTAGCATTCCCTGGCACTGAGACCCAGAGAAATCTACAGTACTGCCCCACAGGAGGCACAGGTAAGCCCTGACCCCTGGTCACCACACCGTGGTCCACCCCCCTGCGCTCCCAGCCCCTGCCAGGGGTGGCCTGATCACAGACTGTAGGTGCCCCGGAGCTATCTAAGGACATTGATTTCCTCTCCCTCCCACCCACACAATTCCTGTGCTCTGCACTTTTCCATTACTTGCCCACAGATGTGCCCCCTGGCCCCCTCAACTCCCTTGGGTCCCTGACTCATGCCTGTGGAAACCTGGGGCTGCTTCTCTTCTCTCTCACGGAGCCCAGCGAGGAGGCTTGGGATGGCATCCTTAGGGCCATGGTGCGTCCTCCCCGTCCCCCACCCCCACTCCGGGCTGGGAAGCTGGACCTCAGCTTGCGTCCTCAGTCACTGCCCATAGTGCCTCTGGGTGGAGCCTTTTCTGTATTTCAGACTCTTCCTGGGTCTCCTGCTCAGAAGGGGCATTTCTGGGGCACACAGCTGTACTCCATTTTGTTAACAGGTTTCCAAAAAGAAAGTGAGATCATTGTCTTTTATGTTAGGGTATCATTGTAGCTGATTTAGGGAAGCCTTGTGTACCAGTGCCGTCCCCCAGCAGGGACCCAGCCAAGTGCCGGGGCTGAATTGCTGCCGTTGGAGCCGCTGCTTGGGGCCAGTGACTCCCCTCTGGCTGCACCGTCTGGGAGTCACGGTCATATCCGATCCTCTGGCAACCCTAATTGCAGTAAGAGTAATAATAACACACATGCACAGCCCTTGCTCTGGGCCAGCATGTCCTGCCGGCTTGACATGATAAACTCATTTGATCCTCCCGACAGCACTCAGAGGGAGGTGCTGGATTATCCCAATGGGTAGATGCGGAGC